TGAGGCTCAGCTGGGCCTGCCGCACACCACCCCTACTTGGGGTGCTCGCTGTGGACCTGGGGTTGTAGAGCAGCTCGCCAGCCCAGGCACAGGAGCTCCACGGTTGCAAGAGACAAGAGGACAAAGAGCAGGCAGCATTTGCTGCTCGTTTGCATTTCCGTAAGACAACACCACCACGACCCTCCCCTGAAGAATGGGTGATCAGGTGCTTAATCAGCACAGGCTCCCATGGAGAGAAGAAAACTACATACAGCAAGTGGATGGAGAAGGTAACCGGGAATGTCCACTCCGACAGCAGCCTTCCCCAGGTGCCCTTTGCCGTGCAGTGGGGACAGCCTTTCACTTCCCCCCCTCCGGAAGAGGAAGAGCTGTTTTTGAAAGCATTCCCTCTCCCCCTTCCCCAAAACAGCCCTGTGAAGTGCACCCCATAAATGGCCTAGGTTAAAAGGAAGTAAATGAGTAAGAACTGAAGTAGGTCAGGTTTACTGGACAGTAAAAGGCGCCAGCAACAGACTGTGACACAGGATGTGCATTAACAACCAACTAAATACACATTAGGAAATTCTAGATCACCTGTGCAGGGAAAAACTGGAGATTCTATTCTAGGATGTAAAGAAGCACCTAATTCTGTACTAAAATAGTGTGAACAATCCCAAGGCCTTTCCCATCTTTAAATTGCACTTCACATACTATGTCTTTCTTGTACTGCATGATTAAGGTTTATTTTATGTGAAACAAAGCCCTAGGGAGTTCAAAGAGTCCTATTCATAAAAATAAAAGCCAAGGGGCACCAGTTTTAATAAAGCTAAACAAAAAAGATATTGAATAACTTCGTGAAATTAAAAACAATGACTAATTCAATCTAAACAACTAGGTCATGTTCAAATTCCAGTAATTCTAAAACGTAGATATAATAAGACAAGCATTTTGCCTTGCTTCAGTGGTCAAAATGAAGGACCCATTCAAGGGCAGGACCAGTAATACAGACACAATGAGAAGGCCAGAGCAGCACAGCGGGTGGGAGAAAGCGGTGCAAGGCAAGATTACCACACAGCGCTACCTGGGAATTGAAAGAGCATGAGAATAACAAAGATATTTCTCATAAAGACCACACAGTCACTCAGCAAATATCTGACTCTCCCAGAGACTACAAAGCCTCAGGCGTGTCTCGTTGCTTGGAGGAAGCAAGTGAACAATCTAATCAAAGAGATACAATGACACTGCAAACAGCAAGGAAGCAAGACAAAGTACCCTGAATGAGTCAGACAGGTGTGCAAAAACCTGAAAAGGCTAAAAGATGTGGCAGGGGATAAAGGCACTACTGTATCACTAAGGGAACAATAGAAAATAAAGCTCAAACCATACAAATAATTCAGTCTACTGCTTTGGGCTGCTTTCTTCTCATTCTTAAAGTTGACCTGGAAGAATCTGGAAGGTGGCCTAGTGAGTGAAAATTCACACTCAGTGCAAGCTGGAATCTCTGAGACACTCTTCCAATTTAAAAACACAGCATTCACTCATTTGCTGAAATGCAATATCAAAGTATGAGACTCCTGCTGCAGGCCAATGTCCTGGCCACCAAATCTTACTACCCCACCCCACTTCAGGGTACTTGACTTTCCCAGCGTAAATGTCATAGTGGCAGAACAAAGTGAAATCATAAATATCCCACATGGAGAAACATGCTCTTGAACAAGAACACAGAACCAAGTAATGAGCAAGAAAGGAGCAAAAGGAAGGCCAAGCTGGCTGTGCAATGGTAGGGATGGACTTTCACGGTGACCTTTTGTCAAAGATCTCCTCTGAGTTTCCCAAAGAATGTTCTGTCACTTGACTTAAATAAGACAGACAAGCAATTGACAGTGTGATCAGATCTTTTCTGCAAGAACTATTAAAACCAATGGTGGCTAAGATTTTCCAAAACATTATATTTCCAAAACCAAACTAAGAAAAGAGAAATCTAGCATTAACACTTCCTTCTGCCAACTACATAAATGCAGTTCAGGCCAGAAAATTCAAGACAGGACCAAACTGGGCTTTTCCCCAAAAAACATTTTAAAAGATACTAATGCAACTTTATGTTTCTTCTATACAATCTCAGAGATAGTAATTTATTATGTAATGCTCTAAAGTTGAAAACAACCAAGTCCAGTTTTTTTCTCCATTGTAAATAAAATTATAACAATAATAGTTTATAAAAATGTAATACTTGGGCTGGGGATATAGCTCAGCAGCATAATCACCTGTCTGCCAAGAGCAAGGTCCTGAGTTCAATCCCCGGTACCAAAAAGAAAAAAAAGTAATAGTTTAATTGAATGTAAAATTTAGTAACTAATTTTATGTCCCTAAAAGCAAAATGACATCTTAAAAAGACAAAAGGGTACCAATGGATTTAAAAATTTATGTTAGATTAAAATGTTTTAATAATCTAGACCTTGAATAAATGGATTTTTAATGTACACCCTAACTGAACATCCAACATTATAATTATGCCTACATCATGTTCTACAAGAGTTTTTAGTATTTAAGGTCTTACCATGTCATTTGCAATTGTAACTATTATTAATAAATGATAGCTATCACAGAAAATACGAAAGAAGAAAATGTGTTTTCCCCTTGTCTTCATAATGCAATTACAAATGTGACATAATGACTTTTTTTCACTACTCTGAGCCTTTTACTACCTTCAGGAAAAAATACAATCCTAAACAAATGGAGAAGATAGCCCCCTGATTATAAATACAACACACATATACTTATGATGTACTCCTATTCAATATACTGTATAAGATTTTGCCTATTTTCAACCATTTTTTATTTCTCACATTGAAAAAACATCATCTCTTCCTCCCAGTCTGGACTGCCAACCAGGTGTGTCTCATCTGAAATGCAAACAGGCAAAACAATAACCAGAGAACAGGCTTGTTTGTGCATCTCAGTACAAGCTCCTTTGTGGAATTTGTGACTGATACAAATCAAAAATAAAGAGCTACAGTTAGAAAAGAATTCCAGATTCATTGTTTACTTCTGAAAGTTCTTGGAATTCCCCTGCAGAGAACTTTACTTGTTCAATAATTTATGTCTTTCCCTTTGTTGTTAACACTAGTTTTATTAATACTCCTTCTCTGGATTAAGTATGGGCTTTAGGTAGCTGCTTCAGTAAACTCTTGGCCACTTTATGCAACTTAGTGACACAATAAAGAAGTATTTTACTTCCATGAATGAAATACAATAGCAAATATAAAACAAACTTTACAGTCTATCAAGTCACAGACTGTGTGTGACAAGATACCAGACAATCACACAGCATGGCTCAGTTGACTGGTAACTCAATACTGCAGCTTTTTTCAAGCTAAAGAATTAAACTCAGCCTAGATCTAGGGCAACGGAAAGATGTTACCTCCGGAAATATTGGTATCCAGTTCCTTCCTGACACTAGTAGGAGCTACATTCTTGTTGGTACTTAGACCAGGACAAAGATTACAGCAGCATGCCGGCTTCCATTTCACTACCCCTGGAAGTACCCTCGGGGTGAGGGACCTAGGTGTCTACTAGCAATGATACTATTGTTGCATGCTTTGTGCTTGCCACACTTAGAATGCTGTTAAAAGAACCAACTCTGCAAAAATCACTAATTCAAAGAACTACAAAGGATGAAGAGTTTCCAGCTAAAGACCTGCTTGAGACTAATGAAGGAGACCCAAGAAAATCCCAAAGAAAAGTAAAGTAGGGAGACTGTAAAAATATCATTGTTTGCAAGAATGTGGGGTAAGATAAACTGATGCAGCACAGATTTTTAGGGCAGTGAAACCATGCATGATTCTACAATGGTGGATATATGTTGTTACACATTTGTCCAAACCCACAGAATGTTCTCTAATGTAAACCATGCGCTCTGTGAAGATGACGTGCTGATGCAGGTTCGCGGGCTGGAACACGCGTACGACTCTGGTTTGGGGTGTGGATCCTGGGGAGGTTAGGTACACACAGGGTCTGGGGACACATATGGAATATCTCCATACCTCCTGCTCAGTTTTGCTCTAAACCTAACATTACTCTTTAAAAGAAGTCTTAAAAAAAAAAAAAAAAAAAAAATCCCAGACAATTAGTCCTGGAATTCTCCCACTTGCATATAATGATTTTTTTTAAAAGAAGCAAGAAATCTGTTGGAAAACACTCCCCAAAGGACTCATGTCAGCTTTTTGTCCCTTCCACCACTTCTAAACCACTGTCAGAAAGCTCCAGCTCTGAACATTTACCAAGAAACAAACCTTAAGATGTCTATAAAGCCCAGACTTGCCAGAAAATACCCAAGGAAACTCCCCCAGAGACTTCAGATCTATCTGTCATGCCTTAGTATGCTGGGGAAACTGCAGTCTCAGGATTTAGTCATGCATTACAGTCTGAGATGTTTGTCTTTACCCATCTGTCATTCACCCAATTACAGAACATTCCTTTCTGGAAATTCTTAGCAAAAATGAGCCATAACTTTGACTTGATGATCACACTCTGAAATTAAACAAAAGAATATGACGCTAGACACTTACAACTCGGACTCCTCCCTTCCACTTGTGTCTAATTTACATCACAGCCAAGGCCCAGCAAGTGACTAATGTCACACAGGCCCCAGGTTTTCTTCTCAGCCACCTAATATTTCCTTCCACAAAATGTGGCTAAATTGAGAAGCAGGGAAAAGGAGATAGGATATGTTTTGACTTTGGAAGTCCCAATCTTTTCATTAGAAGACAACACGTATTTTTTTCTTACTATTTTCTTTTTTGGTACCAGCAACCAGGCAGGCACTGTGCCGCTGAGCTACATCCCTGACCCAACACTTGTCTTTTGCTTGCTCCCACATCTCTATTTACTTTGAAAAGCTTTCCTACAGAACCTATGAAGTTAAGTAAACATTTCGGCCAAATAAGAAACAAATGTCTCCAAAACTGCAACTTGAAACACAGCACAGAAAAAAACCCAAAAGCAAGCCCCTCACCCCTTACCTGGGAAAGCATGTGGATTGGGCGATCCTCTCTTAAGGCACTTAGAACAGAGGATGTGCACAGTGTAGTGCAGTCCGGGCCATTCCTGAAGCAGGACATTGAGTTCCTCCACCAAGGGGGTGATGGCTTGCCACGCGGTCCATATATTTGGTAATGATGCATGGCTAGCAATAGACAGAGTATCTGGCTGCAGGACCCCCTTGGCGGGTCTGTAACTCACCACCACAGGAACTTTACCCCTATATGCAAAGATCTGAAATTTTCCATCCGACCTGTGCACCACATGGCTGTTGATCTGGACACTGTAGCGTGCAAACAACCCAGGTGGAAAGGTAAAGGGGAAACTATATTCAATCTGCAACTGCTCAGCCACAAAAGACTGGCCAGCTAGGTTGGTCCCATTAATCCAGGCCTCTGCATGAGGCACTTCGTTCTGCACATAGCACGGGAACTTGTACCAAGCTGTTGAGCCATTCAAAGGCTTGCCCTTGTGTTTATTGAGGCAGTAGCAGAGTCCCATCTTCTCTAGCAGCTCCAGCAGCAGTTGCAAGTCCTGCTGGGCCTGAACATGAGGCTTAAGCAGCAACCGAATGACGTGGGCTGGCAGGAGCCCATGCAGCAGAAAGCCCTCCACATAATGATGGAGCTGGGTGGCCCGGAGCACGTCCTGGTTCGGAGTGGGCAGTGCCATAGCAGGGAAGCTTTCCCCCTCGACCTCACCCTCTCCACTGGTCCCCAGAAGCAGTTTATGCAGCAGCAAGGAAGCATCCCTCTGGAAAAAGACATTGAGGATGTCGATGAGGCGGGTGAGGTTGTGGAAGACGTGCTCCTTGAGGGCTGGGCTGTCCTCAAAGTAGAGCAGCTTGCCGCTCTCATGCAAATAGGAAAGGGCACTCTGCAGCCGGTCCTCAGTCAGACCAGCCTGCAGGCCCAGGCGCGCTGAGTCCCACCAGCTTAGCCAAAGTCGCTGGGCCTGGGGCGGCTGGAAATGAAGTTCCTCCAGCACCTGCCAGGACCGAGGCAGGACTCTGTGTAAGTTGGGGAAGATCTCTCGGTGTTCAGCTACCGAAAGCAGCTTGTCCCGAAGACGCTGCAATAGGCGGGGGTCCCAGCAGCTAACAGGCAGCACGGGTGAGAGGATCTGCAGCCGGTGGTTAAGCAGGTACTGAAAATGAGCTTTGCGTCGCCGAAGGTTCTTGTCCGAAACACCATAGTAGGCTGCATGAGGGCTGGCAGAGCGCAGCTCGAAGTCCCGAGCTAGGGCCTCATCCACCACCCGGGCTAGATGGCTCAAGCCCTCTGCGTCGTGCTTCTCCTGTAGGGCAATCTGGCGGTGAATGTCCAGACACTTCTCCTCCAACTCCCGCTCGGCACACAGGTCAGCATGTGTGCCCACAATGCACACCACGGCATGGGGCACCCGCGCCCCCACCCGATGCAAGAAGGAGCCCACAGTGGTGGGAAAGCAGCATGGTTCATAGGTGGCCAAGTTGACCACCAGCACATATAGGGCGCCTGGGGAGAGGAAGAAGGGCTGGATCACTTCGTAACTTTCATCACCAGCTAAGTCATACACGATGAACCGCAGGCCCCTGGAAGCATCCGCCGTCCAGCTAGTCACCTCGATGCCCTTGCTCCCAGGGGGAGGAGAAGGTGGGTAGCTCTTCTCCTTGTCGCCTCCTCCTTGGTTTCCCCCCACTCTCTCCTCGGTGAGGCAGTGCCTGAGCAAGGTCTTTCCTGAAGCCTTGTGGCCCATGAGGAGCAGCTTGAGGCGTGGCTGCACCGCAGGCTGCGAATGAGCCAGCTCCTTCTGGTAGGCGGCAATGTAGGGGATCCCCTTCATGCAAACCTCGTAGGGGGGCTGGATCAATGGATTGTCCTTGATCTTCCACAGGCCCACCCGGGAGAGCTGGCCAAAGTTGTCAGGCAGCACAGCGATCTGGTTCCCTTGCAGCACCAGCTCCTCCAGCCCAGTCAGCTCCACAATGGAGTCTGGCAGGTAGCGGATGCGGTTATTATCCAGCCACAGGGTAAGAAGCCGGCCCAGCCCGGAGATAAGGGATGGCACTGAGGTGAGCTGGTTTCGACTAAGGTAGAGCTCCTCCAGACCAGCCAGGGGCAGCAGCGCAGCAGGGAACTCCTCAAAGAGATTGGAGGAGAGGTTGAGCATTTTGAGTCGCTGAAGGTGGCTGAACTGTTCAGGCAGAGCCTGCAGGCCATTGTTGTCTAGCATGAGGCTCTCCAAACTGGCCAGCTCGCAGAAGCCATTAGGCAGGGTGCCCAGCTCAGCCCCGCTCAGCCAGAGAATCTTGAGGGCACGCAGGGCACTGATATCCTCAGGTAGGCCTCGCAGCCGGTTGCTGGACACGTCCAGCTCCTCCAGGGCCGGCAGCTGCAGCAGCTGCCGGGGAAAGGCAGTGAGCTGGTTGTGGTCCACGTCGAGGGTGCGCAGGCGATAGAGGCAGGAGAGGGAGTCGGGCAGGTGCGTCAGCCGGTTGAAGCTGACATCCAGCTCCTCCAGGTGGGCGAGGGAGCCCAGCTGGGCGGGCAGGCAGGGCAGCTGGTTGTGGCTGAGGTTGAGTTTGCGCAGCTCCCTTAGGGCATTCACAACCTCCGCGGCCAGGGCGGTCAGCCGATTGTGGCTCAGGTCCAGCTCGGTGAGGTGGTGGCCCAGCTCGGCCACAGCAGGGGGCAGCCGGGCGAAGCGGTTCCTGCGCAGGATCAAGACGCGCAGGCTCCCCAGCGCCGACCCTAGCCCGTCAGGCACCTCTTCCAGGCCGTTGTTCCCCAGGTTCAGCACCTCAATGTCTCCGATGTTGGCCGGCAGCACCAGCTGGGGGGTGTCCGGGGACTCCAGTGGATCGGCTCCGGCCTCGGGGCAGCCCCCGGCTGCGCTTAGGGTCAGCTGGCGCAGGTTGCTCCGCAGCTTCCTGGCGCGCAGGGCGGCATCCCGCCACAGCCTCACCGTCTTCAGGTTGCCACTGTCCTTGCCAGCCATGGCGGGGCCCCAGGCCGACACCCTCACGCGGGCTCCCGCAGCCGCATGCCGCGCCGCACTCCGGCCAGCGCCGGGCTCCCAGGCCCTCCGGCTCCCGCTCCTCCCTGGCCACTCCGCCCCGGCGGCCAGCGGCCGAGGGTCCTAGCGCAGCCAG